CTGCGACGACCTGGAAGCTTTGCCTGTGGGTGGAGGCCAAAAGGCATATGGCTGTCAGTACCCTCCAGCCTCAATTCCGCTACCTTTCAAGTGACAGAACTGGCACGCTTCTTTTGATGCGCGTTCACCCCGACATTGTAAGGATCAGGGATTTATCTTCAGCTCACAGTCGTTTCTTTACACCCTCCGGCAGCAGGTACACCACCGCCTTGATGCTAAAATGCTGATATTTCCTTTTCTGCTGTAAACCCCAGACTACCTTCGTAGTCGTCGGCTGGCTATCGACTGACTAGAGCGATCACGCAGCGTCCAGACTTCGCGATGACACGTTATGACGCGCGTAACAGCACGTCGTAGTGCGTAGTGGCGAGTGATCGCGACGTCTGAACGCTGCCGCAGAGGCTCAATAACCGCCTATTGCTTGAGTTGGGTACCATCGCCAGGAAGGTGTAGCATCATTGGGCGGTTCCACCTGTCCCTCCAATCTCTGCACAGTTGCTCATTACTCCCTCCTCTTTTTCAGGAATGTACCAGTTCGGAATTCCGAAGATCACTTCCTCCTGTATTTGTGACTGTGCTGGAGGTGATGCTCCCTGTAAGATGAATGAATACAACTATCGGTGAGCATTCAAATGGTTCAGGTCCCCACTGCGTTGATGTAATACAGATCTTTTTCAGGAACTGTACATCCGGTGCCCTTTGCTATCGAACCTACCATCCAATACAGTCGAATGTTGGTTGTCTTGGCGAGCAGAAAAGCGAGGCTTGTTGTCAGCTACGGATAGAGCCGTTCAAAGATTGGACTTTCACTGCGGTCAAAATTAATCAGCCATCTACAGTACTTGTTTTTAGGTAACCTTTACAGATCTTCTTAAGTAATACTTTCCTATAACTCTTGTTTGAAGGTACAATATCTACGACCGCTTCAACAATCGATGGCGGAAAGCTTCTGAGGAAGTGGTTGAAGTGCCAATGAATCGAGGCATCTTCAAGTTCGATTTCAATAATGTGCACAAAATCGAGATGGTCGTCTCAGGCAGTCGACCGAACAGAGAACTCCAGCCCGGAATGTACTTTCTCAGAGATGGTAATGGTGTTCGAATGTTGAAACACAAATGCAGCTAATGGCTAGTTTTACAGGAACTCATGAACTCCGAGGGTTCGTTCCTATCAATGACATCGGGGAGAGCAGCTTGGAGAAGCTCGGCTGGATGCGCTATGCGGACGGTAAATGGGACATACGAAACGGCCTAGTGAAAATCAAGCAGGCTCATGTGAGTGCACCGACCTCCTTTCGCCACTTTCCTCTATTTTACCGCTTGCTCATACTTTTTTCTGGAGCCCTTGATGCGAAATTAGAGT